GGCTCCTTATTATTATTATTATTATTAGCATTATTAGCATTATTACTATTATGGTCTAATATACCCCCCCAAAAAAAACTCCTTGGTTCTTTGCCGTGCTCATTTGAGGACATCGATCCTCAACCGGTTCGGGGCTCAGCTGCATATCTCAACTTCGGCTCAGAACTCCTGTGTGGGCCGCAGCTGAGATGTCTCTTCTGGGTTCCGCAAAACTGACGCGAATCGCTGCCAAGGCTGCAGACTGCGTGTGCACTTGGAGGTTCATGTGTAGTTATAAGTAGGGTTATAAGTAGGGTAACTATAAGTATAACCCATATTAGGGACTTATAACACCACTTATACCTAATATGGGTTATAATGATAGTTACCCTACTCATAACCCCACTTATTACTACCCATGAACCTCAAGTAGGCTATGCCAGAGCAGAGCGATTTCGGGCCCTTTTTTGGTGTGCTTTGCAGGCGGAGACAGCGGCTCCCGCCCTGTCTTTCGAGCTGCGATGGGGCCGCGCAAGGCTTAGAGGACCTTACCAGAGAGCCCAGTACCCCTTAAATAAGGAATATACCTCAATTTTTATCCAATACCCCTTTATTACGGAATATACCTTAATTTATATATGGGCCTTAATATTCCTTAATTAAGGGGTATTTGGGCTCTCTGGGTTCCTGAATCGTCTTGCAGCATCTTGTGGCAACATGGCAGGCGTTGATGTCCTGTGCTGAGGTCAGCAGCAGGGATGGTGGCTTGTAGGCGATGACAACTCTTCACTTATAGCCACTGTGTCAGCACATAATGTAAGCCATACTATTCTGCACTTCGCATTGTTCTCACTGACACCTCAGGCCAAAGCTGCGGCTGATGAGGATGACATCGTGATGGAGGCAGCTCTTTTAGCAGAGTTAGAACGAGACAACTTGTGCATTCTTTGCTGTGCCGGCACTGGGAGGTCAGGAGCAGCAACTCTTCTGGTGCAGGCGAAGTCGCCTTAAAGGAGTCAGGGAGTTCACGCTGCAGTTTGGCACTGACGATGTCACTGTGTATCAACGTCGACATTCCGCAGCCGTGGCAGATCGTCGCCGTCCATGATTTCATGAGCCCATAGCACTGTATGCTGAGATGACGCGGCGGGCCAAAGTGCCCGACAATGCCCAGGAGGCCGAAACTACGGTCGAGATGAAGGCTGACGCTATTTTGCGTCGAATACGAGACTCCATGACCCTCGTTTGACATCGAAGGGGCATCGTTCACAAAGCCCGAGATTCAACATTGTCCAGCTGTACAGTGGTAGAGACGCTCAAAACACGTACACGTTCCCGCGTGTGCAAACATGTGTGCACACACACACACGCACACCATGTAGGTAGGCCAACCCCTTTGTTCCTCTTCAAGCTTCAATCCATATGCCAGCTCGGCTCAGCCAAAGACTTACCACCGGAGGTTTTGGGTCCAGAAGCGCAGGAGGAGATGTGTGTTTCCGAGCAGATAAGCAGGGACTGCTGATGCCAGGAAAAGAAAGCTTTGGTGATCACGTAAGGCACCTTGCATACACAACTGTTGACAGCCATGCATCAAGTTGCTCTTGTCCTTGGGCACATGTGGGGGTTTCCGAAGTAGGGGACCCTACTATAGCACCCTAAATGGTAGAATCCTTACTATAAGGACCCCAAGAATAAGGTACCCCTTACTTTTGGAAACTCCCATGTGCTGTCAACTCAGGAGAAGCATTGGGCTGACAACGGCCGAGCTGTTCTCCTACCTGGATTTCGACCACGACGGAGTGGGAAGCTGAGGGTACCTTAATTTGGCGGGGGGGGGTCCTTATACTACGAATCCTACTAGTTGGGGCGCTATATTAGGGTGCTGTGTGCATGATACGACCTTCTCATCGTGCAAATTTGCCCTGAGGTGATAACGTTGACCGACTTCGCTGGCTTGCTTATGTCCTTCGAGCCCGAGTGCAGTGCTTCAGTCCTCAGCCATACGTTCCAGCTCTTCGAGCTCCATCGTGGAGGCGACCCGTCTGCTAAATCTGCACGCCTTGGAAAACTCTGTCTCGCATGTGAGGTCTAGCCACGCTTAACCTGGAAAGCAACAACCCAGCCTTGATTCGGATAGCAATGATACTAATCGTTCTGAGGATACAGGAGTTTCCGAAAATTTGGGGTGCCTTATTTTAGGGGTCCTTATACTAAGGATCCTACTATATGGGGGTACTATAGTAGGGTCCCCTCTTTTCGGAAACCCCCTGTCTCTGTTGGGCTATGACCCCTAAACCCTAAACCCCTAAACCCTAAACCCCTAAACCCTAGACCCCTAAACCCTAAACCCTAAACCCTTAAACCCTTATGAACTGCCGAGGACTGAGCCAGGCCAGCTTCTGCAGGATTTGGGAGCGCCATGGAGAGGCGAGCCCCCAGCTGCTCCGCTGGCTCCCAGGCACCAACTGGAGCTTACCGTTTACGCCGGTTTAAGCTACGTTTAGTTAATGCAAACTCAAGATTTTGGGGGCTGAGGTTGTCTTAGGATGTAGGGTTTTAGGGTTTGACAAACCCTAAACCCCTTAAACCCAATAAACCCCCCAACAAACCCCCTAAAAAACCCTAAACCCCAAACACTGAACCCCTAAGGCCGAAAGCCCTAAACCCCTTAAAGCCTAAACCCCTAAACCCAAAACCCCCAAAACCCCTAAACCCTATCCGTAAACCCCCTAAACTTAAACGCCTCTCCGGCAGGCAAAGCCCATGGCCGGGTTCTCGGTGCCGAAGCACAAGCGACCTTCAGCGTAGAGGATGCTACAACCTAAGAGAGATATAATCCTAGTGCGTCGTACGTAATGTATGCAACCTGACATAGATATAATCTAGTGTGTCGTACGTAGTGTAGAGTATGTAGTATACAGTATGTTTACAATCTAGCATATAGTGTATAGTAGAGCATCAGTCGGAGGGTAGAGGGTCATGCGTTTCCAGGCTGAGCCACGACCGGCTTGTTTCTGTCAGCTGGCTATAGTATTCTTAACCGGCCGAAATCGTGCACGACAAAGCTGTGCTCATCAACATGTTCGAGAGTGCTGTCATAGACTCAGAGAGCCGGGCACACCAAACCCTAAAAACCCCGAAACCCTACATAAACCCTTAAAAACCCTAAACCCCATAAACCCCCCAAAAGCCTAAACCCTGAACCCCTAGCCTTCGCTGAGGATCTTGGACCTTGTTCAGTCCAACCTCATCGGCCTGGCTCCAGAAACCAACGACCTGGAACTCCTGGCCCTCCGCTTTAATTAAATAGTTAGAAGTACGGGGCCCTAAACCCCTAAACCCTAAACCCTAATATGGACCCCTGGGCCCTAAACCCTAAACCCTAAACCCTAATATGCACCCCTGGGCCTTGCTAGGGACCCTTAAGGGTCCATATAGGGTACATAATGGGCTTATAAGGATCCCAGGGTTAAGGGCCCATACTAGGGGATCATGGGTTCAACCTGAGATTAGTGGTCTTATAGGGATACACAACATGTGCCCGCATCTTATATCGATCTGTCTGAGGTCTATCTACTGTACCTATCTACCTATCTACCTATGTGTCGATCGATCTACCTATCTATATATGTATGTACTTGAGTATGTAGAATAAACTCAATATATATATATATATATGTATATATGTATGTATGTATAATACACATGCACCTGCTATATGCATACATATATATATATATATATATATATATATCGGTTTATATATGTATACAGATATATGTACTGTATGTATACGGGGAATCTCCCCGATGGGACTTGGACCTGCATTAAGGTCCCAGGGCATCAGGAAGCTCTTTGGCTGCGGCAGCTCTATGCGACCTACTACGAAAGACACAACTCGGCGTCGCGAGGCTATTTCAATGTTTAGGGATCGGGGTTTAGGGTTCAGGGTCTAGGGTTCAGGGTTCCGGGTTCAGGGTTCAGGGTTTAGGGTTTAGGGTTCAGGGTTTAGGGTTTAGGGTTCAGGGTTCAGGGTTAGTGTTGAATGTTCTGCACATGCTGTTCCGCCATGTGCGAGTGCCTCGGTGATGTTTCGCCTTGCCTGAGGATTGAAGCTCTGATGCACGAGTCGCAGGCAACATTCACATCAGAGGCACACTATCGCACTATTGCTGCAGAGCAGTCTCTTGCCTCATTGGCCTTACAGCAGATCCGTTTGAATTCTTTAGAAAGCTGCACATTTCAGAAGCGCGCGGGATGGGTATTTCAGCTGCAAGTTTCGATGGAAGCTTTCAGGCACGCCGAATGCTTTGTTGGTTTTGTTCTGCGTCACGCACGAGGTCTGAGATGCTGGAGTCTGAGTTCTACGTTTGGCGAGTTCGCAGTCCAGGCGGGGTTTGCAGAGGTCTGGCGTCATGGCCCAGGTCTTGAGAGGCTCAGTGAGACTAGACGCAGAGAGGTCTCCTGCAGCACTACGCCGGCCAGAGCGGCATGGAGGGTCGCCACGAAGTGCTGGCCTGGCATGGGGATCCGTCGGATTTGGATCAGGCCAGCTTGCTGGAAGGCCCTGCCATGGCATGATTCCGGTCCAACTGTGAAGCTTGCTACTATCTGCACTATACTTGACTATGCGACACTATACTTTGCTAACCTTTGCTATGTATGCTTTACGATAGTTTACAATTCCATGCTGTGCGATATTGTACAATACTATATGCCATACTATGCGATACGACACTATACAATACTATACCATACCATAAGACACCACCATGGCATATACGATACGGTGGACTATATATACTATACTTTATACATAAAGAAACTATATGTGAAAAATATGTACACCAGACTGTACTGTACTATACTATACGGTACTATACTTATCCTAGACTAGAGCAGAATAGACTATACAAAGGTTTAGCGCGCAGTCAGCTTTGAGGCGACTTGCGACCCACTGGGAGGATGCTGGCGGGCGAGTTGCCGTGGCGGCTGGCTGCGCAACCACTTCAAACCTTTGGCAAGGGGGCTGAATGGCACCTGGCCTGGGTGAGGATTTAGGGTTTAGGGTTTAGGGCACCTAGACCCTAAACCCTAAACCCTAAACCCCAATAACAGGCTCCTCCTGGTAAGGAATTCTAAACTGTACTGCAGTTGAACAAGGGCCGTTAAAAAAAAGCCCTAAACCTGGCCTGGGATAGGGATAGTCCGGGCTTCGGGGTTCGGGGCTTGCGGCAGGCATGAACTTCCGGTGCTGTTGTCTGCTTATTTCTCGAATCCGAGCTCACATCGTGGCTCCGAGAACAAACCTGTTGAGTGTGAATGTGTCTTTTTAATTTGTGTAGTATACTATAGCATACTATAGTATTAATTTGTGTAATAAAATGTTTGTAATACTGAAAGCTCATGAAAAGCTTTAGTTGAGCCGCCATGCGCTGAGAACTAGCTTTCCACGGGGAAGTGCGAATTCCCCTTGCTACTTAGTGGCCAAGATGCCAAGCTGTTGGAACTACATCTCGGAGAGGGGTCGCAGACAGCTGCCAAAATTCCGCTATTCGGGAAGCGATAACTCGTACTTGTATGTGTATTTCTGCTCTCCACTGGCCCAACTACTGGTCGATCGATGCGTTCCGCTCTGGTTGGCACCCAACCTGATCACACTAGCCGGACTGTCGATTTCGTGCTTGGGGCACGCGCTGGTGCATCTGTACTCACCCGGCTTCCGCAACTCCTGCCCCAGCTGGGTTTGGTTGGTTGAAGCTATCTGCACCTTTGTTTACCAAACTTTGGACAACATGGACGGGAAGCAGGCGAGGAGGACAGGCAGTTCATCGCCCTTGGGTCTTTTCCTGGACCACGGTGCAGATGCTCTTAACATCGTGCTGTCGTCTTTGAACATCATGGCAATGCTGCAGTTGGGCGATGGCAAAAGCTGGGAGTGCTTCGGAGTTTGGGCTGCGAGCACAACTCCGTTCTTCTTTGCTACCTGGGAGGAATACTTTACTGGAAGCCTGTATCTGGGAGTGTTCAACGGTCCCACGGATGGTGTACTTATCGTGTGCGCATCCTACTTGGCCACCTTCATCCATGGGAGCCAAGAGGAGTTATGGGGCTCCCACTTTGCCTTTGGCCTCTCACGGGCACAAGCCATGATCTGCTTCTATGCGGTCTGCGTCATGGGCACCGTCTTGGGCAATGTAAAGGCGATGTTAGGTGGTCCACAGAGGCTGCTTCCAAGCCTTGCCCTAACCGGACCCTTCTGTGCCCATGTTGCAGGCGTTGCTTTCTGCTTGCTCTCACCCACCCTGGTGGAAGCACGAGGAAATCCTAGAAGCATATTCTGGTTCTTTGGGCTGACGTTTTTGATGTTAGTGCGACTTGGCTAACATGGCATATCTATCCTCTTCGTTGACATATTACTTAGAAACAGAGCGCACGGCTTTGAGCGACTTTCCTGTGCAAGGTCACACCTTCAGCTTGCTCATGTTTGTGGCGAGGCTTACAGACCTTGGCGGTTGAGCCCCTTCATTCTCGGGGCCTTGATCGTCGGCTGGCTAGCGAGCAGCGTAGGCTCCAGTGGCTCCATGTTTCAGATTGCGGTTGCGGTGCTGGCCATTGCATGGTTGCACCTCCAAGTCTGTGTGATCAAAGAAATGTCAGACGTTCTCCAGATTCCGATTTTCACCCTCGACGACCCCAAAAAAGAGCTAGGCACAAAAAGGATCGAAGACTTAGAAGAGGGGGTGCCAACTCCAAAGCAGCCGTCCAGCTCTCTTCTGAGCTACTGAGGACACTTTTCTATCTGTGCCTCGTCCGTATTGCGCCGTCGGAGCATCTTGGGCCTAACTTTCTAGGGTTTAGGGTTTAGGGTTTAGGGTTTAGGCTTGACCTGCCAGTAGTGGAGGAGGAGAGTGGGATTCATGGAACGGCAGTCAGCAAGGCTCATGGCAGACGTAAGACTCAGGATGAGCCGACTGGCAACGGTTGAAGAATCCGGCCGTGTTCTTCCGCGTCTTGGACCTGCAATTTCTATTGGAGCCTCCTACCCCAAAGCAACCATCAAATTGTTGGTCTAGTCCACAGGATGGGTCTTAGTGAAGGACTCAGACTACGTTCATGGATTTTTGATGATTGCTGGTATGATTGTTTGCGGCTCGTGTTCATCAGCTGGTGGTCCTCACTAGCCATAAGTTCAGTACTGGTACAACGACAATATTCACAATCTTCCCGAACAGACCCTGCCGTCATACGGCTACGATAAGCCATAAGCCTCTTGCATAAGGCACCGATCGTCCTTAAACTGGTAAAGATGGGGTATGCTGATGCTCAAGACAAGGCCTCAGTTTGTCCTGTGTTGGCCCCGGCCAGTGGCCGAGCCTCGGTTTGCGACGAAGTGACCACTAAAACGTACATTGCTTTGTTGATTGCCAGTTTTCTGACAGGAACCCAACTCATCCCGGTCCCAGAACTTGTTGTTGACAGGTTGTATTGCCTGGCTCATCCATCGCTTTGGCTCAGCGGTGCTGGTGGCGACTGGCCCTAGCTACGTGGAAAGTTAAGGGACGGCAAAGACACGTCCAAGCAGGAACACCATACTCAGTCTACGACGTTTTCGTGCTGAGTTGTGTTGATTCCATTTTCTTTTGCAGCACAGCTTGCAGTGCTAGCAATCTCGAATCGCTGCGACCATGCGGGCCGTATTGCAGCTGCGTGCATGCTTCGTTGTGTCAAAGTGCAGGCGATCGAAGGTCGCTTGCCAACGTGCTCTTCGTGACCAGCTGGCCAGAGCAGAACAAAGCCCGCCTGAACTCGTTGGCTGCACACGAGCTGCTCACATTGCGGGTAGGTACAGAAATCACGCCAAGGTGCGCATCCCGCGAGGCGCCACACACCTGCTGGTGTATGCGCTCGGTGCAGGCCCTTCCGGTCGGATTGCGCGACAGCAGAAAGATCGCCCAGTGCACAGGTGGCATTCGCACAATTGATCCTGTGGCAGTGGTCCAGCCAGAGTCTGAACGGTGTTGAACATGAGCGTCGGTACAAAGACTGATGGTCGTCATGCCATATCTTGGTCGTTGTTTTTCATTCTTTCAGCCAGAGTCTGAACGGTGTTGAACATGAGCGTCGGTACAAAGACTGATGGTCGTCATGCCATATCTTGGTCGTTGTTTTTCATTCTTTCAAGGCAGCATGTATTCAAGCTGTGAACTCTATGCCGAAGCGCAACATATATGTATATATATACACATGTGTATATGTATATATATATATAGATATATATCCTCTTTTTTACAGATGCAGGATGGTTAGTAAGATGTACGACTTCTGCAACGATTGTTACTCACGGCAGCGCAGCCACCAGCACGACCGGTGCCGAGCCCATACCAGACTTTACTATACCATACCATGCTATACCATACTATACTATATTATATTGTTATTTCGACTATACTATACTATACTGTACTATATTCTTATTAGACTATACTATACTATACTATATTCTTATTTCGACTAGACTAGACGATACTATACTATATTTTTATTAGACTATACTATACTAAAGAAATACCTGTACTATGACCAGGTTTAGTTTTATGCCTCAGGTTTCATGATGCCCGCCCGCCGACCGAGCTGCCGACGGACTTCAAGGCGGTGCTTCCGATGGTCTCCTTTTTGAAAGGGCTCCAAGAGGGCTTGCGGTACCCAGGGGTTGCTTTAAGGGGGTTGAGGGTTTATAAAGTTTAGGGGTTGGGAAAAGTGGACGGGTTTACAGTTTAGGGTTTAGTTGGGTTGTACTGTATAGTTGTATAAGGCTTACTTTCAGGATTCTGTTGGGGTGACTAGCTGCTATAAGGGCGACTTTGGGGGTTGCAGTTCAAGTTCTATAATGTCTCCGAGAAGCACTGAGATGGCAATGTGCTACATTTTTGTCGGTTTGCTCAGAATTGAGGTGGTGTCCTTCGTTCGCGCACCTGACGGTGTTCAGCTCAGTCAAAGACATGCCCCAGAATCTGTTCTGGCGCACATGCATCTGCACATGCAAGACGCAGGAGCTTGACTCGTCGGCTCAAGTCCGAACGCACGAATATGCTGTGCTATCGTGACCCCCCACTTTGCAACATCCTTCGGAGGCGCGCAGCCCACACAGGGCAGATCCTTTTCAGGAGGGAGAGTGCAGGTGTAACCCGAAGGCACTCTGCCACGAAGTTCGACTTCCTCTGACTCCCGAGCTATGCTTAAGGCATCCAGATGACAAGCTGCAAGCAGAAACCAATGTGTGGAAATGCAAAGCATCGGGGTCTCCACACTAAGACTTGGATGTTGAATCACTGTGGGAGAATGTAGTGCTTGCATGGAATGGGATGGTTTCCGAGCCAGAATTTGCATGTCACCGCAACAGCAAACTCCGCCACAAGATGTACACTCTATCTGAAAGAAGCTCGACCTTGACATGAGATACTGCAGTGGGGCATGTGAGCTGTATTTCCCTCAGGTGCCGCATCTTTCACTGCCCATTTCGAACCCGGCCAGTGTGCTACACTGGATAGAAGCACACGAGGACTTCTTCTCAGCCCACACGCATACACGAGCGATGATGCTAGTGATCGTGTAGTTGCACAAACGCTGGTTCGTTCTTGCGCTGCCAGGATCTGATGCTTCAGGGTGTGAGCCTGCAAGCAGTCATGCCGCACGCTTAGACAACGCGGCTGCGAAAGACCCTAAAAGCACTGGCTTTGAATGAAGGTCGTATATTGGGTGGACCAGCGCGGGCAAAAATTGGGCACAGCGCTGTGGGCTTCAGACAGCCTTGAGGCATGTCGAGCACAGGAAGCCGAAACGGCGGTAATATAGGGGCCTTAATGATTAGAATAGGGTTTGGGGGTATATTATACAATAGTTATAATAAGGAACCCCCAAAACCCTATTCAAAATATTAAGGCCCTTACATTAGCTTCAGTATGGAAGGCAAAGGAGCTCTCGATTTCCAATGCATCGGTGCCACCGGACGCTCGAGGTCTCAGGGCTGGATTCTTAGCAGAGTTCCGATGTTTACCTGTAGTCTCCATTGTAGTTCCTTTTTGGTGATAGCTTATAAAACCCTTAATATGTAATTGGTTAAACCAACAAAAGGAACTACAATGGAGACTATAGGTAGGTTGGCCGAGCCTGCAGTGGCGACTTCAAGGTCCTTGCGAGGAACTCGCATGGCGAGATGGCGTCTGGACCAGCTACATGGTGCCCCGGCGAGTATTGACAACTGTGCAAATATCTGCAGACAGCACTTGATGCAGTTGGACCATGATGTTCTGAAGCCGACAGCGTGATTTGAGTACATCAGACAGGCTCCCATCGTTGGCCGAGCAGGCTGAAAGCGAGCTTGCCTCTCACGAGAAAAACGGACTGTGTTGTCGTCTGCTTGCCTTCGAAGAGTCTTGTGTAGACTTATGGCATGATTGACGTAACGGAAACGAGCGAGCATCTTCCAGCGAGAGTCTTTTTAATCCACATGGCCATGCTCATAAAGCGCAGCGTGACACTGCCCAACTCCAGAAATTATGTGTTTCCTCGGTGCTGTCTGTGGCGCGTTGATGATACGCACTGATCCGGCGAAGCGGTGCCTACAGTACCGGAAAAGAGTCCAGAGTCAACACGTTGAAATGCTGCTTACTCAGGGGCCGGCCCTGCAACCGCACACTGAACGTTGAGCCATGCCCGGCCATTAGGCTGGAATCAAGGGCCCTGGCGTTTGCATGGTTGTTGTGCGAAGTTACGCGAAGTGCTTATCTGACCGAGCAGAGTGCTGGCATCTGCCAGTGCAACAATAGCTGCAAATGTTTCTGTAGGAGACTTGACACCCGATTCTATCAGTGTCCTTGCCTCACGCCTGCTCATCCAGATCCTGATTTGGGTTTTGACCGGCTCCTTGGCCCATCTTGGCCTGCCAGTGTGAGGAAAGAGGTTTCCGGGACGGAGACCCCGCACCCTAAACCAGGAGCTCTAGGAAATAAAGAAGATGGACCGGGGATTGGAGGCAGGTATCCTCAGCACCAATTTCACGAGAAACCAAGCAATTGTCCAGTTTGAGGCGAGCCTGAATCTTAGACAAGGGCTCTGATTCCGAGTTCCGATGATGCAAGTTTCAATTTATCATTCATGCCGGATGAATCGGTCAGCACATGAAGCTCAGGAAAGCCTCTTTCGCCGGGCTTTGTACAGCAATGTGTTTGGCAGACACCTTTGACCCGTGCGTTGACATGCTTACGATTACTGGCATTCTTCTGGCTCCCAGGCTACAAGTTTGAGGGAGCTCGGCCGAAGCAGTAGACCAAGCATCAAGCATCATTTGTCCATCAGCAAGACCAAAACCTGGCACGGATCCACCAGCTCACGGGGATGTGGTCGTGCAGCGGATGGACAACTCAGATTGCAAGCATGGCGGGGCGCTGTGCGCCAGGAACATGCCGTGAGCTCAGCAGATTGCTTTTCAAATTCAGGTTCGATTCAAGCCTAGTCATGTGCCAGTGGTCTTCTAGTACGTTGGCATTCGGACTTGGCAATTGAGCAGGAGACGCAAGCGCTGGAAATCGAAGCCGCTTGGAAGACCAAAGACGCCAGTAAAGGAAAACCGAATCTCTACAGTGCCGGGTACGAGCCGACATTGCTCTGCAGCAACGTGGAAGATTCGCAGCGGAAGCAGACGAGCTGCACGAGAAAGCCGAAGAGTTGAAAAGGGTGGCCATCCAAAAGAGGACTGCACAGCGGCAGCATCTCATGATGACAGCCGTTGACTTGCAGGCGGGGTGCATCCGTCGACCGGAGTCTGTTCCAATGTGTTGCATAACAGATGATGCTTTATTGTATTTAGTTGCCTTCGCCCCTGCCACAACTACGCCAACGCGCTAGAAATGGCTGACAGAATCGTTGCAAATGCTTCATGTGCACTACATGACATGGGCCTCCCTCGCTCACTCACTTGCCCCGACTCACTCCCGGCAATCCGAATCCCAAAAGTTTGCCAGAACCTGCCTCAGCTACACGAGGCGGCCTTGCCAAGCGGTTTGACAAGATTCGTTGAGAGGGATGGCCAACGACCTAAGAACATGAGTACCTTAATTCGGGTTGTAAGAAACTATATTATATATATATATATATACACTAGTGTTATAAGTAACTATAAGTATACTAGTGTGTGTCTACAGAGCTTCTTTGGGACCATGGTGGACGTCAGTTTCCCGTTTCGCCTGCGCTCTTCTCAAGTCTTCCAGGCTGAGGCCGCCATTTAGAAAGCCCGACTTGGAGGTTCATGGGTAGCTATAAGTGGGGTTATAAGTCCCCGAATATGGCTTATAATTATAGTTACCCTACTTATAACCCTACTTATAACTACCCATGAACCTCCAAGTAAACCTCCAGCAATGCGCACACGGCTGCTACGACGACGACAATGAAGGCAACAACTGCTGCTGCTGCTGCTGCTGCTGCTGCTGCTGCTGCTGCTGCTGCTGCTGCTGCTTGGTTTTCGCGCGAAAGTGGGCAGCACTCCCGCGAAAGGAAAGCAATAATCCGAAGAGAAAGCAGTATGTGTTGATCAACGCTCATGTCGAAATGGTCCCCTGCCGGCAGCCTCGGTTTCAATACACAATGGACATTTGATAACAGCTGTCTCCCCAAGTGCGCGGCACTTGCGAGGGGTGCGGGCCGCGCACACGAAAATGATGTTGTTGTGATTGTTGCGCATCTGTTTCGCGTGTTCGAGGACGTGCGGAAACAGTTTTCGCAGGCTCACCGGTTCCTGTGTGTGGGGGCAGGGCAACGCTGTACATGTAGGGATGAACTCAAGATCCATGTATTACGGCAAACCTGCTGAAAATCAAGCAGGGCTCTCGGAGCGAGCCACCAAAGACAGTGCTTGTGAAAAGGAATCTGCGTACCTGCAATCTACGTAGCGAGCCACTATAAAAGCCCAGAACCCCATTCCAGTTATCGTTCCGACTGCCAATCACAGGTATGGTCCACTGGTCAATCTCAAAACCCCAACTGTAGCTGCAAGGCATGTTAAGGATGTGAGATGAGATGTGATAAGATTATAAGTTTGTAGGTCTCTGCTTGGTTTAAACATGTTTAAGCACCTGCAGGTTGACCTCTTGTGTACAGCACTCGTATGCCGCAAATCTCCAAGGCAAACATCCCTGTCAGGCAAATATCTTAAACATAATACCTACTAACCCTAAACCCTAAACCATACATAGTACCTACTTACTCGTCTACCCACACGAAAAGCATTCGGGTTCTCGTCTACGTTTTTGATTGCGAGACCTCTGGGCTTCAGCGACTTCCTTAATTACATGACATATATATAGATAGATATAGATATAGATAAAGATAAAAATATAACTAATACACAGTGATGTAGATAGACAGTAAGAATGGAGTCAAGGCTTGTGACCCAACAGACTTCAGACTTTGTGCGTGTGTGTGAAGTGCAGTGCCTGTTGTTTTCCAGGCATCATTGTTGTTGTGCATTGTAGGGGCCTAAAGAATTGCCAATACTACTTTGAGGGTTCCTTATTGTAGTTATAGTATAATGTGCCCCAAAACCCTATTCTAATTATTAAGGCCCCTAAACCCCTATAGTAGCCCGTATAGAACACTTTAAGGAACCCTTAAAGGCCCCTATAGTCTTGCTTGTGGCCCCGCAAGCCCCTACCCTTGAAGCCCTAGTGCAACTCCTCCAATCATGATCAGCTGGCCATCTGCGGGTTTCCGAAAATAGGGGACCCTAATATAGTACCCTCAATAGTGGGATGCTTATTATAAGGACCCCCAAATAAGGTACCCCTTCTTTCGGGAACTCCCATATGCTCAACAGAGAGTTGTTGATTGTGGATTCAGCAAGTCAGAACTGTGCCAGACAATCGTCAGACGTTGTTTGCATTGCTGCTTCCGAAGTGAACTTTGGCAAGACAGGTCGTTAACTGTTTCGTTCCGGGAACTCTGCCAGAGAGAGTTGAAGCTTGCAAGACAGCGTCTGCCTCAAAAGCGGAGACAGTGCAAGAGACATCATGCGGGGATGCTAGTTGTGCTTCAGTGGGAGGAAGGTTCCAACCACCCTGCTTTGGAGGTTGGACCATCAGGCGGAAGGAAGCATCGGAGGAGGAAGCGAAGGCCGAAGACGCGCCAGCCCGACCTGGACTGGCATCAGAATTTTTTCAAGCAAGCGTACTTCTTCAACTCCTTGCAGCTCCAAGTAGTTTTCGTGACAGAAAGGATCCTCGCTCGAGGATGCGATGGTGATTTATACCCCGGATTTGAACAGCTGTTTCGTGCAATTCATGACTTCCGTCGCCACCACGAAGTTTGTCAATCTCAAGTCGTGGCCTATGTTGACATGGAGGGCGAGTTGCTGGGGTTCGGCGGCATCGCAACCCTGGCACAGGTTCTGTTTGTTGCGCATGGCCCCCACGGCCTATGGATGATGGGATCGTGCCTCCTGTTTGATTTGGGGTCCACGCAGTGTGCACGATGTTTCAGAACGCTGATGGAAGACGGATCATTACGCAAGCGCGGGTGGGGCTTGCAACAAGATCTCCAGGCAATGTATCAGATGGGCATTGTGCCCAGCAACTTCGAAGACTTGCAGGTGGCCATGAAGAGCAACGAATGCCCGCGACCTGCACTCAAAACGTCATTTTGGACGCTGCCGAATATTGCTTGGTGGATGTCCTACTTGGGTGTCCCAGAACCAAATCCCAAGCAAGGCGAGTACTCAAGAAACGTTTTTGCCAAGGCCCATGCTGAGAACAAGTACTTGATTGCGTAATGATCGCCGCAATTTATATCGATAACTCCATATCATCTGGATTGTTGGATGCAGCACGCAGTGAAGTTTATGAAAGAGTGGCGCAGCTCCAGCACTATCTGGATTGTGAAGTCATCTTGGGCAACACGTTGAAATATCTGCAGCTTGCGAAGGGTGAGCCTGAGATACGTGCTAAGGCACTTCAGCTTAAGCGGGTCTGCCAGAGCCTCACAGAACTGTATCCCAATGGAGACTTGGATGACTTCCTCAATGACTTCCTCTACAAAAGCCTCCCAACCTGTGCTGCAGAAGATCCACCGCAATCTCTCGACGTCTATTGCAACTGCGAGGATTGTGAAGCAGGCATCGGCTGTGCTGTCCCTCATGCATACCCGTAACCCGTCGCTCAGTGACCACATCGACATCTAGACCACACTTGCCGCATCCATTCAAACTCCTGTAACTACTGTGCAGATCCCTGAGAGCTTGTTGAGCTACCAACAACAGACATCAGGTCCAACGCAGCGACGCTGGCGCGCTGAGTGTCGAGGTTCACATTTCCGGCAGTGACACCATCATGATTTCATCGGCCATGCGAATAGTCTACAGCAAGATGTCGCAGAACTCTGTCAGTGGACCATGTCAAAGACGTGCGAGTCCAGAAACAAGTATCTTAAGTAGCGAAGGATGGACAAAATGCAAGCATCTTGTCAGCAGGTCCTTACAAGCATCATCAACAACAAATTACAAAGGGATCGAGTGGTAAGCTGTCCACGTCATTCTATCCACACACACACACATGCAAAGACAGTAGGAATAGAGGAATGAGTGCATGACAAGTCTGCAGAGGCACAGGGTCGAAACACCGATGCACGACCTGCGTAGACCGTTCGAGCGCGTGAATACTCAGGGCCTTGTGGCACCGGCCACCAGCACGCTGCCAACGCCAATGACATGCATTATCGATTCTAGTCAATACCAATGTGTATATACATATGAGCCTGTGATATAGCATAGCAATGCATGTCCAGATATGCACATGTACGTGCACGTATGTCTGGATGAAGAAAAGGAGAAGTCATGTAGTGAAGGAATGCAGGAAGTAAGGTAGGAAGGCAGGTAGAAAAAGGAGCAGTCATGTGTTTATAGTATTATAGCATATTATATGAGCATGCACACTGGAAAATACATGCGCATTCACGTATAGCTGTACTTTTTTGAGTAGTTCAGTTTTCTGGATGGTCACGCCGGTCACGCTAGGTTGTTCAGCGTTTCTTAACTCATTTTTCGCAAAAGTAGGCAACGATGCGAGGGTCTTGAATTCGGTCACGCCAGAGCGGAATTACATCTCAACGAGTGTCGGCATACGAGCTTGTGCTTCCGAAAGTTTGCCAGGTGAAAAGCAAGGCAGGGTCAACGATGCACCGACCAGGTGCAGCAGCTAAGACTCCAGATTGATTGCTACCGGCTTTCAATTTCTTAGGGGTACTTAGAAATAATTTTTAATCTTTGGTTATTATAAACCCTAAGAAGCAGCTAAAATTATAATTTTTGCTAGGGATCTAAGTTCAGTATAGATTTGGGAGTTTCCGAAAATTAGGGGTACCTTATGTGGGGTCTTATAATAGGAATTATTTAGGGTCCTAGATTAGGGTCCATATTTTCGGAAACCCGCATTTGTATGGTTCCTTTGGACACCAGCCCTGCAGGCGTATGTTTCGCATACGATGCTGGGTTCCCAAGTACCAGAAATGGATGGACGTCAAGGACACCAAGTGCAAGAAGCTGATCAAAAGGGGGAGATTGCCAGGAAGTCCCACAATCGTAGAGCAGCCAGAGAGCCACCCATTCGTCTACGATGTAGAATGTGATAAGTGGAGGGACTTCTACGAGCAATTCCAGCATCATTATCTTGGAACGGAGGCCGGGGCCTGGGCATCGGTTTCTTACTTTTGGCCACATTGGGAGTCACTCATGTTCAAAACTGTAGGTTATCAGCTCTTGTGCCGCCAAACCTGGTTAGTTTTTGGCATTACGTCACAGGCACAGAATGAGAACCTTCCTGGGCCTATCGAGAGCGGCGATGGTGGCGAATGGACAGAGACACTGCGACGGATTTTGCGGAAGCAGCAAAGCAGTGACCCAGCACCTATCCAGTTCGACGCTAGTGGCAATTGGAAAGAGACTCTGCGGCAAGTTTTGGGGAGGCACCAAGGCTGCACGGTCCTCAACAACGCAGGGGAACAGCTGAAGAAGGTGGGGCAGCTCCAACTCGAGGAAGATCTTCCTTCTGACGAGTTTCCACTGCAGATCAGTGCCGCTTGGCGTTTGCCCTCCATTCAGCCTTGTCTCTAAAGTGTGCACAACTCAAGAAAATGCCCAGAAGGACATGGACACAAGCAGGGTCTCCACATACCAAGGTGAAGAAAGTTCGACTCCTGCCGGTTGACTTCCCTGCGTGCTCCGTTCTCATGTAGTGGCATTGCACTTCGGAGACTCGGACAACTTCGAACTCTCATCAGCGAATCGCCTTGTCACACTTGGTGGTGCTTGTTGTTGCTGTCGAGAGCTTCATGGGCCTTGCACACAGTCTATTGAAGCTTCAGTCTTGTGGTGGCAGCAAACGCCAAGTCAGCGATTGTGACGCAAAGAAGCTGTTGGCACTCGTGGGGGCACAAGGAATTCGACTCCTTTCAGCACAGTCTAGTCTCTGCAGTCAGGCAGGATGCAGCAAATGCTTGTCGCCTGCATTGCGCGGTAGAGTACTGGACACTTCATCTTGTCTTCGCGCCATAAAACAACCTGTGCACACGACAGAGAAGGCAATGGTGGGAATAATTATCATCAAAAAAGGGGTCGTTGTTTTGATCCAATAATCCTTCGCCGAAATACGCGCCTCTTCTCTCCCCAACCGCTTGTTTTCTGATAAAATATGTTTTTTTATTAATTGACTTGTCATGTATTTTTTGAAGATTTAATTTTCAATGTCATTGTAGCTAGCTCGATTCTTCACATAAATATCGATTTTGATTTTTCAATTTGTCCTTTTTGTTTCGAACAGAAAATTATGATTATTCTGAAGTGAAACTGTGTCGCGCTGGTCGCGTCCGTTTTGTTGTGCCCCTGGAACCTTGCCCTTTGGTGCATTTCCTATTGAAAGCCTCTTGCCTGCCTGTCTCGCGGTACTGAAATTTCGAAATTTTAGTGCCGGGAGCATTTCTTTCCCGGTACCAAAATGTTCGAAATTTTGGCGGCTTTAGGAATTTGGTGGCCGTAGAAGGACATGCTCCCGATAATAAAATTTCCGAAGTTTTAGTACGCGAGCTCTAGTGCCGCGCTTTCTGAATGCAGGTGTCTCTCTGTGTCGTGTGTGTGTGTGCGTGTCTCTGAGTGCGTGTGTGTGTGTGCGTGTCTCTGAGTGCGTGTGTTTATATCTGTTAGTGTCTGTCTGCGCGTCTGTTATTTGTCTGTGCGTCTGTCGTTTGTCTGTCTATTTGCGATCATCTAGATCTATTTGCATCTCTATATCTCTCTCTCTATCTATATTTGACTCTGATTTTCTATCTCTATCCCTATCTCTATCTCTTTAAATCTCATTCTATCTAAATTCATATATATATATATATATAATATATTTATGCCTTTTTATTTGAATTTAGATCTATTCATTTATCTATATTGCTTTGAATCTATTTAAATCTATGTATATATATTTCTTTCTATTTTTCTTTTATTTTTTAATTTCATATGAATATTTATCGCTATTGATTTATTTATTTTTTTTTATTTCATCAAGAATTATTATAATAATCGATAATTGGAAATGATAAATATAAGAATTATCTTATGACCTAATTTTTCATTTATTAAAAAAAATTCTAGAAAAATGGTAGGATTTAAATTATTGATATATATATATATAAATTTTTCGATATTGATTTTTATAGAGAAATTAGCTTAATTTTGAAAGAACGCATTTATCTGGCCTATCGAATAGAATCATCTCTATGATATGCCGCCCTAATGGGGGGGGGAAATAGATATGATATTTTTAATCTTTGGGCATAGATTAATTTTATTCATTTATATTTATTTATATTAAGTAGATTCTTGATTATTTCAATATTTATAAAGAAATATAAAATTTTGAATTCAAGCAAATAATATATTTATTATCTTGAATATTTAATATAATTTCTTTATCTTATTATTCGAAATAATGGATCTGCTAAATATAAATTGATAAGAATATTATTTTTCTATAGATTTTAAAAAAATACTATTTAATTAAATCTGTATTAATATTTTATAATTTAGATATTAAAATCATATATAGAATTTCTGATGGGATCGTATATTTTATTCTATTTTGAATATTTATATATTCCGATGAATAGAAATAATTCATTAAATTAAAGAATTTGAGATAAATAATATCATTTTCTAGATTGATTTGATTGATTAAATAAATAATTATTTTCTTTTAAATTGTACGCGCCTGAATGCAGGCTCTAAACTTGAAGCAGAATATAAACCGTCACCCTAACCAACCTACACCCCAAATCCTCCCTAAGATCTTGTCCATTCACAATCTTATAACTTTCAACTTTAGACCCTAAACCCCAAATACGAAAGCTTCAGCCAAACCCTAAACCGCAAAACCTCGCAACCACACCACAGGGGGAAGAGGAACCCACGCCCCACCCACAGGGGAGAGGGGGGGTTCCTGGACCATATACCATTGGGGGGGGGGGCGCGGAGCGCCTGATCATATATACCTATATTTGGATCTATATATAGATACATTTCTATCGATATATTTTTAATTTTTCTCCCAATCTCTCTCTCTCTCTCTCTTAATTTCTCTCTCATTCTCTCTCTCTCTCTCTCTCTCTCTAATGAGAGCGGATCCTTATATATATATATATAAATAAAAATATATATAAGAATCTATCGATATTAGAATATATAGGAATCCTGATTATATGCTTCCCCCAGAAATTATGATAATCTTCTAGAGATGGAGGGGTTGAGCGCACGTCGTCTCTTGGGTAGAGGTGTGTGCTGCATATTTTGTGGTGTGTGTGTGTGTGCTGTGAGTGGTGGGTGTTGTGTGTGTTGCGGGTATTGAAAGTGCGGGTTGTCTGAGTAGTGTTTATTATTTATATCCGTATGTATGCGTGAATATATCTATTATAGATATTATATGGAGGAATATTGGGGGCGTATATTGAGGGGAATAAATAATAGGAATCTAATCTAATCAAATTCTTAAGCGAGATATTTCTAATATTAAAATAATATTTTATTCTGGTAAAATCCAGCCAGGATCTTAAATATGGCAATTCCAGAATTTTATATAGACTATAATTAAATAAAAAAGGCAGGACCCGTAATCAAGGCATAAGATTGGCCCCGAGCGCAGAGAGAGCGTTTAGTGGCATTTAGAGTCTTCCCGACGAGGTCTGGTCTAGAGCGCGCGTTTGATCGCGCAGAGCCTTCTAGAGAGAATATTTGATGAAATTTATAATCTTCCCGACGAATTTAATCTCAACGCACGCTTGATCTTAGAGCCTTCTAGAATCTATCTAGAGAGATCATTTAATAATATTTAGAATCTTCCCGATGAATCTATTCTATAGTGCGCTTTTGGATCCCACAGACAGAATATTCAGTGAGACTCAGAATCTTCCCGACGATTTATCCTATATCATAATTAATCCCATAAAATTCTCTAGAGAGAGCGCTTAATAATATTTAGAATCTTTTTAATGAATTTGATCCAGGCCACGTATTTGATCTCGTAGAGCTTTCTAGAGAGAGCATTTTATTAATTTTTGATTCCATAGAGCCCGCTAGAGACGTCTAGAAGATTCCAGACGAATTTGGTCGATAATATGTATTTGATCCCGTAGAGCTTCGTAGAGAGAGAGCATTTAGTGGAATTTAGAGTCTTCCTAATGAATTTGGTCCAGAACACGGATTTGATCCCGCAGAATCTTCTAGAGAGCACATCTAGTAGTGATTATAATCTTCCCGACGAATTAGATCTAAGAATCTTCTAGAAAGAGATCATTTAATATCATTTTTAATCTTCCAGTCGAATTTCATCTATAGTGCCTATTTGATCCCGTCGAATCCTCTAGAGAGAGCGCTCAGTGGTATTTAGAATCTCCCCAAGAAATTTGAATTCTAGTATGTATTTCAATCCTGGAGAGAGAGCATTTAATGAAATTTAGAATCTTCCTCATACTTTCGATCTTGAATACGTATTTGATCCTTCCTAATGAATTTGCTCCAGAACGTATATCTAATTCCTCAAAATCTAATAATAATTATAATCTTCCAGATTAGTTTGATTACGAATGAATAATCCATCTTCCAGAGCCATCTAGACAGAGTAATTAGTAGCATTTAGAATCTTTCCGACGAACTATTATATTATTCAGAGCGTGTATATGTGGTGCGAAGTATTGCGTGAATCATATCGTCTTATTTTCTTGAATTATGAAATGATAAGAATTTGAAATATATTTTTAGTTTCGTACTATTCTGAATATATATCTTGAAATAATGAGAATATTTAAATATATGAATTATATATATATATATAAAATCTTCATTTATATATATATATATATTATGAGAAAAATCATATATAATATGAGAAAGAGAAAGAAGAATATAATAATAATAAAAAGAATAAAAAAATTATATTGATGCGCGATAATAATAATTTCATTATAATATAAGAAATAATGATAATTTTTCAAATATTCAAATATA